AATAACCATAGCAAAAGAATAAAGATAAGGATTGTTTTTTTTCTAATACATCTGTTACAGTCATCATCAAATGGCTGTTACTCTGTTAATCTCTGAGCGCTGATGCTCCCAGCAGCCAAAAAACATTTCAGCAGTGAGAGAACCATTCCCTGGTGGATGTGTGCCATTTAGCAGCAAACTGAAAAGTGCACACAATGACCAGCTATTTCATGTAGCAAAGGGCTATGGGGATTTATTTTTTTTAAAGTGAACGTAGATGGTGGTGTCACCTAGTGCTCAGATAATACATCCTACACTGACAACTGCTCCGACTGGTGCTCTCTCTGCTGTGCCCTCTGCATGTATTTACTACACACCTTAGATTACCTCTTCAGTGTCTTTGAGCCAGGACTGTAATCTCTGTGGCTGGAGGGGAAGGAGAAGAGGTGGCTAGTCAAAGAGAATATTTAGAAGGAATGAGATGATGAAGGGGGGGGGGTGAAGGGAAGAAAAGCTGGCAGGTGGAGAGAGGATAGAGGGAGAGGGTGGGAGGCTGGAACGAGGAGTAAAAGAGATTAGAGAAAGCACAGGAGAGGGAGAAGGGGTGTAGCGAGGAGGAGAGGCAGCAGGAGATGAGCACGAGGAGTACAGTAGGAGAGAGGAAGGGAAGACGACACCCCACCATAGGGAAACAGTGTGTTGTGAGTCATCCACAGGCAGCTGGATCTGGGCACGTGTAAGCCAGACTCCCTCCTATGGTCTTATGGGATATTAACAAAGAGAGAATGATGAATGACTGCTCCTTAGATGAAGAGAAAATAGAGGCAAAAAGTATCTCTTGGTGCATTCAAGTTGGCCTGATTGAGGGTCTTTTGGTGTGAAAGAATGTGATGGAAGAGTTGTGTCGTAGTTTCTTATAGTCGTTTTGTGTTATGCTGAAAAGCTTGACACATGCGAAAAATCCTGAACATTAAACGATGAAGTGACAAATCTTCTCAGTTGATATTTCTCCTTTAAGAGGCTGAGCAGTTTTTTTTAATGATGGTTTGCGGGAAAGAGAATCTTTTAAAAAATTCGCCTATTTTTTTGAAAGTCACAAAAAAACAGCAATATTTCTCAAAATAATTGCCTTTTTATTTTTATTTTTTGCTATTGTTTTTGGCAGCTTTTAACCTGCTCCTCAAATCCCTCTTTTCTGCCTTCTCTCCAGTCAACAGAGATGATTTGTGACCGCTCAGTCTCAGTCACCCCCCCCTCACACACACGCACGCACAAAGACAGAGGCAACAGAAATAGCAGTAGACTGCAAGCAGAAATAAAGCAGCACTGCTGCTGTGTGGGTGTGACACAGCTCTGCTTCATCGTTCCTCTCTGTGACAGTCTGGGAAAGAGGGACTGAGATCACTACAAAGTGCAGAAACCAGTGGCTTTTCTATTGTCTATCCCAGCCGGCTAAAAGACGAGTGCTGCTCTTCTGATATCACTTGTACTGAGCTCTGAGCTGTTGCTCGTCTCCCACACAGCTCCGCCAGAAAGGCGTTGTCTTTGAAGAACCGCAAGAGAACTGACAGACTCAGCATTTTGAGACAATAAAGTGGAAATGACATAAGGAATATTTTCTGCGAGGCCCTGACTTGAAAAGGCCGCTCTGTTGCTCGGTGGTTTTGCCTCCAGGAAAGTCCTTGTTCCAGCTGTGCCAAGTCAAGTGGTCTGCCAAGTTGATACATTTGGTTTAATGTTAAAACCCTCTGATTCAGACTGAGGCAGTCGAGATGTGATGCTTCGACTGGGACGAGGACCCCTTCTGCATCATGGAGGAATGTTTCTCAAAACCATTTGCATGTTTGCAATATTTTCTAATCCACTGTACCCTTTTTAAAAGCAAGATGAAAAAAAAATGCCCAAAGTTATAATATTTTAGGTTGATTTTCTATTCGGGGAAGATTAATGGGAATGGAGTTCACTAGATGCTGTCCATGATGCTGAAAAGCCACTTAGGGCTATGAAAGGTTGTCTGTGCAGGGTCCCAATCAGAAGGACTTGCAGTTATTGAAGGAGTGTGGAGATCGTTTTTAGGAAAGTGGCAATACCTCAAGCAAAAGTCCTGCATTTCATAACTTAAGGACACAAGTACTAGCAGCCGAATGCACTTTAAGAATCAAAAGTAAAATTACTGATGAACGAATATGTAATCAGCATTTCAATGTTTTGCTAATTTTAACAATTTTAGATGATCATATATCTCTTGATCTACATTATGTTTTATGTGAGCTTTCACAATAGGTGATATACTAAAATCTTTAGTATATCTTTTATATATTTTATTATGTTTAATGCATCTTACATTCAAGTCTGGTGTCTGTCCTATGTTTCACCTGGGGACAGTAAAGTCTAAGGTGAATCTGTCACAATAACCAGAAACCTGCCAGCTACAAGGCCGACTGCCCAGGGACCAGTCTCCGTTTCTCATCAAACAAAGCCCAAGTGTTGCAGCTAAGAGTACTTAACAATATCATAGAAGTAGTATAGTATAGTAGTATGTGTATAAATAGTAAGTGAGTTAATAGTTATTATAGTATGAATGCAAACATGATCGAACACACTGTAAAACAGGAAAAAGACCAGCCTGTCATGTGCTTTCACTTTTTTTATTGTGGGTCTTGAGGGAAAACACATTTTGAAGGGAAGGATTGCAATAGTCGCCTCATTCTATGAGCAGTTTTACTCCCGGTAAAAGGGCTTGGCCTTGCAGGTAGCATGATTTCCACTTTGAAGTAATGGTGTGTGTGAAGAAGCCATTACTTTAGCCCTAATACCCTGCTGTGATGCTTGTAGGGGTATGTGACACTCCATTTCCTTGCATTTCCTGGCCTCAATGCTAGGGCTCCATATTCTCTCAGTGTAAAAAAAGGAAAAAAGGAAATGCATTTTTCCACCAAAAATATTATTCCTTTATTTTTTGTTCACAAACATGTTTTCTGTTTTTGCTTGTATTTTGTCTGCAGGGGGAAAAAGCAGGCTTGTGTAAATTATGCAGCAATCTTAATGCAAATTCAGTCTTGGGCGTTGTCTCATCCTGATTACAATTCAACCAGTCTCAGGAGTACAGGAGTCCGTCCCCCTCTGCTGTCAAGAAAGATTACAGCTCGGTATAATCTAAACCACAACCCCAGCACACTAAAACAATTCTGTACTCCTTCAGTCCCTGTAGAGCAGGTGATGATGCCCTGGTCAAGTGTAGGAATGTGGGGCATCACACTGGCTTTGACATCTGCCTCATGTGAGACCTGTTCCTCAAGTACTGTACTTAAATATTGTACTTGGTATTTCTACTTAACTCCACCACATTTATTTGACAGCTTAGGTTACTTAACACAATAAGACATTTGCATACAAAACATACAAAGAGCTTATAAAACAGGATGCTTTGTTATACACGAAACTACCCAACAGCATTTGCAGCTGAAATGATTAGTTGATTAATTGATGAGAGGATTGACAGAAAATTAATTGGCCACTATTTTCATAATTGTTTAAAGTTCCAGCTGGTTCCAGCTTTGCAAATGTGAGGATCTGCTGCTTAATAATAAATAAATTATATTTTACAAATTAAAATATAGTTTTATTTTTATATTTACATTTATGTTAAACATTTTAATGTAATTCTTTTTAAAATAATCATTACTTGCAGTATATGTATTTATATATATTTATATATTTTACTAGTGTAACATTTTCAGTGCAATGTGTACTTGTAATGGAGTAGTTTCTGTATTAATGCTTTTACTAAGGTAAAGGATCTGAATACTTCGTCCACTGCTGGTCATCATCAGTGCTCCTCTGCACACAGCTGCCTCTGAGCCCGTGACTGATTGTTAATCCCTCCTCACCACATACAGGGAAACCCCACGCAGCAGCCAGTCATTCATCCTTTATGAGCACAGGAGACTCCTGTTGGCAGCTTATGTCAATCTGACAACCTACTGATGGTGACTTTATGATGTCTCAGCATGACACTTTTGAGGTTTCTGAACTTCACACATGCTGAGATAATTTTTTTATAGGAGACTTTTTTAAAGCGCAGGCTGATGACACGTGTTAGGATCATGGCCAACTGGATCAATTGTACGGTTTCTTTATGTATTGCACTGCTCACGGTGAATGCTGTTTTGGGGAGGGGATGAGGAAAAGATGTTTAACAGCAAATGAGTGAGCCCTATTTGGCCCTTAGCAAGGTTATTAAAGCTTTGAGAATATACTATATTTCAATTGAGTAACGTTTGTTGTTCAGTTTTCTTGTCCTTCTTCCTTAGAGAGCAAGTTAACGGCCATGTTTCATTAGCTGATAGTGGATGAGGTTCTTTGCCGTTGTTACTCAGGACACCAAAAAGCATGCATACCCCCAAACTACCTTTCTATCGGGGCTGAAATGAGTGACAGCTGGTTCCTGCTCTGTAGTCTGGTAGTGCAGCAGGCATACTTCCACACTGTACTGATATATTGTTTTTGTACAAATGTAGAAAGAGGGCACTGATCTTGACTTTTGTATTAAGGAAATCGCAGGTGTCTGGTCATTACCAGACTGAAATAGCCTGGTTCTGCATGTGCTCATTTCTCTCATATAACATTGTATTATTTTAATTTACAATGTAATGATAACACTAAAACTGTGGACGGATGATGGGATTTTGTTGAGAGCTGAGTCATTACAGCTCAGCATGCTGGGGTTTCTTTTTTTTTTGTTTTACAGGAATTAGACATGCTGCAGAACCCTAACACCCAAACTAAATTGGAAGCAAGACAAAGTAAAAGCATCTGCTGACATGTTTGACAAACTACTGCCATCTTAGGGGAGAATAACAGCAGTGCAACAGAAACAGCTGTGAATCCTTAGCCTACACGCTGTATGTGCTATAGTATATGGTGCTGTTTAGCTATCAGGCTTAAAAAGTGAATTTAAAAAAGTGACACCGCAGCATAGCAAATAAAAGGGTTATTTATAAAGGAAACAATAAGGAGCATGTATTTCACATAAATTTTATAGTTACATGCATTGGTTTGGATTTCCTTTTTACTTCCCAAGAAATCAATCTTTCTTTTAGTTATTTGAACAACAGCATTATTTTTCCAGAACAAAAAAAGTGTTTACATCAGACTACAGTATAGTACAGAGTACTGTAGTGTAACAAGTATGATATAGGATCAACATTGAGTGAGCTGTTAAATTCAAAATCAAAACAAAAAATAAATAAAAAAATTATATAATAGCAGCTACTTTTTGGAGTTGGCAAGGTTGGTCATTGAGAACAAAAGAAAACTATGAAACACATTGAAGTTGTAGTGCTATACACATGCATGGGATTTTAAGATAAAAACACCCCCTGGTAAAAAGGGAAAGCTATTTTGGAAAATTTCTAATTTAATTTTAACACAATAAATAAGGCCACTACTCACACAAAAAATAAAAGTTTAAGTGGAAAAGGCTCATCTGTTGTATGAAAACATTTAGCTTTTAGGCTAAAACTGAACTTTTATCAAATTTTGTTCTTTGTCTCAACGAAAAAAAAAAGGTGTCTCAAGACTGTTTGTTTTTAATGCAAAATAAAACTTCTTGATGATCTTGTGAAAATGTGACTGTATCAATTACAGACTACTGTAAAATGTTTTTTCCATTACAAGAGAAATATCTTTTTGTTGATGAGATTTTTATTTTATTTTTTTTAAACCATAGAAAGCTGTCCTGGCTTACACATCGAGGAGGCCAAGGCTACCGTGATGAAAGGTTAGGAAAAAGTGACCTTAAGATCACAAACCAGCTTTTCTACACAAAAGGCACCACAAAGAAAAATATATAAATAAAGAAGGTACTAGGAACAAAATAAGTTTTCTGTAAGGTGCTTATCTTAATACATTCTCTCTCACACATAACTAAAGAAAAGGCAAAAACTTTATCTGTCAGAGATGTCGTCGTCATCCTCTGCATCATGTAACAGACAGAGCAGAAACTGTTTACAGCGCCACGAGATCCCATGTCTTAAAGTCCTCCTCTGTGAAGGGAAGAGCCTTTAAAATACTGTTTTCAAGCTCCTCTATATATTCCTGCCTCAGCTCCGGGGATGAAGAGCAAGAATCACTGTCGAGGCCCCCTTGCAATAATGTCACGCCGTCGTTCTGATCACCGTGCTGACTCGTGTTACTGTCATCTGACATGTCAGCATCCTGATCCATTCCAAGTCCGCTGTGCTGGCCCATGCCGTCACCGTCTGACAGCTTGTGGATGCTCTGAGCATTTCCATGTCTGCAGTGCTGACAACTGTAATTTTCACTGGATGCTGTCTTGTTGATTATTTTGGCATTAGTTTCAAAAAGCCTTCTTGGGGTCCTGACAGGTGTCAAGCAGGCCTTCGTGTTTGCCACGATCTCCACTTGACCGAGCGGCACTGACTCCGCCATTGTCATGTCTTCATACACTGTCTTGGCGATGTTGACGTCTCTAGCCCCTCTTCTGTTTTTGTTAGGGGTGAGTTCCTCGCTCAGGTCAATAAGGATGCAGTCAGAGTCCTTTTCACTGCTTTCGTTGTCCACCTCTTCCTCAGAAGCATCCTGCTCCAGGCACTCTGCCTCCCAGGCTTCTTCGCATGACTTCCTGGATCCACTACCAGGCGACTCAAACACCACCCCTTTGGGAGCAAGAGGTTGGAAATGTCTGCGGCGAAGGCTGGCGTGTGCTATTGCGCCAAGTTGGCTCTCAGTCGGCCTCAACATGTAGTGTTGGACTGACTCAGGTACGAGGATTTCATGGCGCTTCTTCCTGGGCAGTAAGGCAGAGAGTCTACCAGGTACAAAGTTACCTACAATGGGCACAAGGGAGGTAGGTTTTAGTGCAGAGACAAAATCCTCCAGCTCTTGGTAAGAGGAGTGGTCCGAGTAGGGCACCACATGGAGGTGGGGGTGAAAGGAGATCAGGGGCCTGCTCGTGGGCAAGATGGCCAAAGTGGGTTGTTCTTCGTTCCACAGGCGTAAAGTGGCACAGCAGATCTTCGACTGCTCCACGACTCGGATACGACCAGCTCCGGGGTCAGTGGTGAAGACGTTAGGCAGCTCCAGGGCTTTGAGGGTCTCCATCCTCTCAAAGCTCACCTCAATCCAGGTTTTAAACTCCATCGCCAGCTCCACCAGCAGGGACTCTTTGCCCAGAGCATACAGGCCTGCAAAGCAGCGCAAGAGAGCATAAGTGTCTGTGCTGTTGGCTGACTGCTGAGTGCAGGGAGCAACAGCAAGGTCACAGTGGGAAGTGAAGAGAGTACAGCATTTAATACTACTTAAATGTCCAAATCAAATTGTCAAGTGTTTTGTGGTTTTCTTTCATTGTATTTTAGGGAGTGGAAATAATGATAAATTATATCACGGAAGCTAAAATTAGTAAAAGAAATTTCTAAAAAACTTGTTCATATGGACAAGATGCTGTGCCTATTGTCCGTACAGAATATAATATTACCTATGACAACGTTGTGGTTGGGGTGACTGCGGATGATCTCTTTGATTTGTTGAGTGGCTCGCTGCCTGGAGGGGAGGGTGCGGTTGGGGTCACAGCTGGTGTTGTCCAGGTACAGGACATCTATAGTGGTGTTGGTCCTCAAGCACGGCTCACGCAACATGGAGGGAGTATATCGGAAGTCACCTGAAATTAACAATGTGTCAGTGCTGACTGTTAATGCCCCTGATTCTATAATCGATACTGTACCATGCATGTATTTTTTTTTTTTTTTTTACATCATATACTAACTGTGATGTTGGAAAGCAAAAGGAAAAGAATAAGAGGAGAAGCAACAGAAGCAAATTCCTACATCCTAGAAGCAGCAGATAAGGGGTTTCGTCCGTGCATTCAGACACTGACCAGTGTACAGTATAGAGCCAAAGTAGCCCTCGAAGAGAAACATGACAGCCCCTGGACAGTGGTTGGCGTCTATCAGTGTGACGGTCATCCTCTCTTTGCCGATGTCATCCAGTGGCAGCAGGTATGGATCACCCAGCTCTAAAGGATGGATCCACTGTTCTTTCACCTGAGCAGAAATTATAGCATTACAAAAAGAGGTTAATTCAGCAATATTGTTTTTCAACCTTAATGATCCCAATTTTCCTCTGAAAAACAATCTATATCTGCTCAATCCAAATCGCAGGAGATGCTCCAGTCAAAGAAAAACAAACCTTGAGTAAATCAGTGGAGCAATGAGTGCAGACACTTCCACATGAGCATGAGGGGGTCACTGACTGAATGGTTTGATGAATTTGAAAGTGATGTTGATCAAATCATCAAAACACCAAATGAGGGAAGATATTTTATAAGAATGGTGTTCATCCCAGGATCCGGGGCATCTTACCTGGGTGGTATTCTAAATTTGAGTCTTGGTGCACAAGTACATTCACGCGACTCCCTCACCTGCAGTTTGAGTCTGAGCAGGGTGGCAGTGACTGGTGAGCAGTAGATGGGCCGGTCGCTCCAGGTGGAGGTCAAACCCACCGTGTGGTCGCTGTGCATATGGGACAGGAAAAACAGGCGTGCGCCGGGACACTTGCGCACATGCCAGAAGTCTACGGCCAGCGGTGTGTGGGAGATGACTTTCCCGTTGACTGACATTGTCTACAGTTTCCCTCCAGGTGGACTGGTAACTGTCACAGGTATCAACAGACTGAGGATAACCGCTGTCTATTTAACTAACGTTAATTACTTCTGCCACTTGGCGACTCACAAACAAACCCGTTCAAGTAACAGCTGTGGAAATGGTTAAGGTTGTGTAATTTAACTTGCATGGCACATATTAAAGTACTACCTTAATCACAGTGCTGTGGTAAAAACTCCAGTGCTAGGCTAACTTTAGCTAACGTTGTCCGAACTTGTGACTTTGCTAACAACGGTGTGGCTGTAGGTTAGCATCGTCCCTAACCCGGTGCTGCGAGACGCCAATATATTGCGTTTTGAAAATCTCCTGTCCCACCGTCGACATCGGAAGCACATGTCAGTGCTACATTTTCACAGTTGCGGCGCTAATAGCAGATTAAGGTCCCCGCCGTTTGTGTTTTCAATTTGACGCTCTTCTTCTCCGTGTTGACTTGCGGAGAGCAAACCAACATTAAAGGTGCGTATCGCCACCTAGTGTTTCGGGGTGTGCAGATTCATAGCATTAGCATCTGAATACTCATTTGTCTATAAAAAAACAAGACTCAGTTTCCTAATCCTGCCTGTATTATATAACCTACCAACCCCCTTCTGATTTCCCTGAACTCCTGTCCTGCACTCAGCAATGATGATTAATCTCCATTCCTGTCCCGCCTCATGTTATATGTCCCCCCCCCCCCCCCGTCAAGCTCATGTGTGCTGAGCGTTCAGGCCCATGTGGCTGCCATGCATCACCCAGGTGGTTGAGATGAACTCTCCCCCCCTTCACTATGAAGCACTTTGATTATCTAAGATAAAGTAATCCATGAATATTGATTTTATTATAGACTGAATTATTTTTACTACAACGCACGATGCATTCTACATCTTCCAGAATTTACACCGCTGACAAAGATTTGATTGACTCATCCCCATTATATATAAAGTGAAGTGAAAACCTACACACCTAGGCCCATATCCTCCTTTAAGCTGTTTAACATGAACTGTATATTATAACAATGTCTCCCTTCATTGTCTGTATCACATTCCTTCTACCACGTGTTAATTATAGCTGTTCTAATTAAAGATTTTTGCTTCTCCCCCTTCCATGAGCTATTATCATTTGTTGTCATATATGTTAAGGGCCATATTTGCCAATTTATCTACTTCTTACTTTAATACCCACATGAGCAGGGACCCAGAAAAATGCACTTCTATACCCATCCTTTGTTATCTTAAAAGCATAATGTGAATGTCTACCATTAATTACCTCTTCTCTGACCGTTTGCCTTGATGACAAACCTGCTGGATCTGAGCAAATTTGTGTTTCTTCTGAAAAATCTTTATTGGTCAGTCTGATGAAATCGAGTCTATATACACAAATTCCCACATGCCCACCCTCAGGATTATTTGAACCACCTGTGTATAGTGTCAAAAATCCATAGAATTGTCCTTGAACCTGATCAATATGACAAATGTAATCTGTTACTCACCAGCTCTTCTTTTCTTCTAGGATCTGTAAATTAACATATGGATATGGGAGGATCCATGGGGGAACATAACTTAAAAAAACAGATGGACTATAGTTACTCTTTCAGACCTATCTTACCTATATTTCACCCAAAACCTCTGTCATTAACCTTAGGATACCCCAGCATTCAATTAAAACCTCAGAGGTGGCGTATTCCTTTCCACGTCCTTTTAGTTGTACCCAATACGCTGCTGATAGTTTCTCTCGTCTAAGATGTAATGGTAACTCACCAGGATCCACTAACAGAGCATTTATTAGAGTTGTTCTTCAAGCCCTCTTAATGCTCTGTTCTGAAACCCGTCTAATTTGTTTTACATTTGTTCCATTATATTTACAGTGATTGTTTATCGGTTCCCCAGTCATAACTGCATACATTCCTCATAAGGTTTAACACTTTCTTACATTTGTTTCTACGTTCTTTATATGAGACTTCCATGTGTTCTTTTCATCGAACCTTAACCCCTCCTAATTAGGAGCAGGGAGCTGTTCAGGGCCTTGGTCAGGGGCACCTTTGGAAGTAGCCCGTGCTAGACACCAAGCGATCCTGTGGTTCCCAAGCCAAGTCCTCAACGACTGAGCTATGCCACCCAAACACGTTAGATCTGCACTAACATAGGGATTTAAGGGCATTTTTAGCTGAAGAATTTACAGAGGTTTGTGTATCTGGTATCTGTAAAACATTTTTAATCACAATTAACATTTATCCCTCTTTTCCAGTTTGCCCCATCATCTGCATACAATGAAACATTTATATCTCTCTTTACATTCATGTATATTGTTTATAATAATATTGAAAAGGATAGGGCCATTTACACTTCCTTGAGAAATACTAGTTTCTATTTTAAACTCTATTTAGACATATTTGATCCCACTTTAACCCTGAAAGTACAATGTGAAAAAAAAATCTAATATCTATTTATACCTCCAATGCCAAGCCGACTCATTTTAATTAGTAGCCTTTTTTTCCACGGTCATACGACATTTCAGTGTCTAAGTATTCAACTACCATTACTTCTTTCAAATGAAATGTTTTTTCGACATCATCACTCATCTTCACAAGTCTTTTCACAATTATCTGTTTCATTAGTTTACAGAAATGTAATAAAAGCTAAAATTCTGTCACCTGCATTAGATGGGTCATTACCTGTTTTAACAAGAGAGAGAGAGTATAAGAGCACTTTTCTACTCACTATAGGGAAGAATCCATTCTATCGCTGATCCCGTTCACTTCAGAGTTTTCTCTTAATATCTCTCTCTAATTGTTTACCGTCAGTTAGAACAGGAATTTGTACAGATGTTCCCTTTCCAACACCTTTTCTTTAACATTGTCCATACTTTGTTTAACTGGATTTCTCCTCCTATGCTTGGGCGAAATTGCCGCCATGCATTTCACTTTCCTATGTGAGGTGGGGTCCTTGTTGTTTTGTTTTCTGTGAGCTCACCAAACCAAATTCCTATCGACTATGTTGAAATGGTAATAAAGTCTTGAACCTTGATAAGTATTTTTGTTTTATTCCTAGCTGTTCATCATCAGATTAAACATTCACAGATTACACCTTCTTTTCTGTCGTTCCTAATTTAGAAAGAGTTTTAGTCTTTGTAGATGGCAGTAAAACACTATTTTTGAGTCCTTTATTTAAATTAGTGAAGGGCAATTGTCAGAACCAAGAATCCACGATGCCACCAATGTGCTCTCTTGGGGCATTTTATTAAGATTGACTTTATGGATTCACTAAAAAGGTTGTTCAATTAAAAATGTACAGTTGGCTATGAGGCATCTCCCTGAACTGATTGGATTATTTTCTACTCTCCAGAAGATGGCGCCAAGAGAGAGGAAACAGTTGTTGCAACATTTACATTTTTTTGTGAAATAGAAATGAGTCTATAAGACATTTATACGTAAACTGCTCAGATTTTGAGAGATTCTGAAAGGACATAGAAGATTATTCGTCTACCAAATGTAGAAAAATCTACATGTACTGTAATTCATTTCAGAAAACAGAAATATACTTTTAATACATGGTAAAGCTCTACATTACACTATGAATTTTGAGTAGTGAGATTTTTAACTATAAGTATGACATAAAGAGTTCAGAGTAGGCCTACTACTAAATGGGGGCGTTGCTATGGTGACAGAAACCCATTGTAGCCCCCTTCCCCCTACATCTGCACACTGCTCACTTTCCAGGATTATACCTGGGATTGCTGCACATTCCTGTCTTATTACACTGCGTGCATCCTCTCCTCATACCCCGAAGCACATTAATCATACTCTGCTGTACCGTTAATTATCTATCTTCCCAACACACACACACACACATCGTGCTAGTGAGGGGAAGCAGTGGGGGTTCCTGCTGATCGCATCTTATTCTTTGCGATGAGTTACACAGCTGGATGCTCTTTAGATTATTACAGAGTATGGGGCAACTTTATTGTCAATAGACAAGTTGGCACATGATTAACTACAATTTTAATCCAAGTGTATGACTAAAGTAGTAGTTATCTCATAAGTCATAACTCTTAGTTATGCTTAATTAGTAGTTACTGGTTTGATGATGATCCGAATAAACAGTAATACACCCAGGGAAAGAAATGTATATTACATATAAATACATACATATATAGTATTAATTATCAATCAGAATCTGAGCCCCAGCTCATGTTTTTACTGGTACATTATACATACAAAACCAAGGTGCTTTATATGTTCTCGAGAATGATAAGAATATAAGCACAGTGATAAGAATATAAACAACAGCACAGTTTACACGAGTCAAGCCAAAGGTTGCTGAAGTCAGGAGGATGAGCTGTCGTTTCTGTCATGTTGTTATGCAGAAAAAAGCCGAAATGCTGTCAGACCGCAGCAGTGATGCTACAAAGGCAGATGGCTGCACAGTCTGTGATCTGGCACTGCTGTTATTAACAGCAATGCTTTAAATCCTCCACATACACTTTTACTGACGTCAGTAAGCCAACGGGACCTTTCTCATTCTTACACCTCTGCTATAGACTAGATATAGTTGAACTACTTATACACACTTTGGGTGTGACATTTTGTGACCTTGCAATGGTGACGAAATAAAATGAGTTGACTCGCAAATTGTTTGTTGAATAAAAAAAATGCTCCCATCTGTTCCAATTTCGAATCCATTTCTCTGGATTCCCATATATCTATTCACGTCACTATTTATCGATCACATAAATAATGAGCAATGTGAGCTCTCTCCATTGCCTCTATTCATCTGAGTCAATGCATTTGTACAGTCGGAGGTAGTGGCAGCTTTATTTCAGCTTTATACCCCGCTGCTCCCCCTCCAGGGATGATGCAGTGGTGCTGCACACACACTCTCGCAGAGATATTTATGGACATGTTTGGGAAGCTGAAGATGTCCCTCAGGGGGCTAAGAGCAAGTTACCGGCCAAAAGTAACTGGTGAGAACACATATTCTCATTTTGGCAAGCACTCTCACTTATTCCATCTGTCTTTCTCTGTGAATGTCTCTTTGTCACTCTCTTGTTTCCCCCACACTCTCTCTCTGTACTGATATGTCTTTGTTTCGTTTTCTTGGCTTAATCCCTTTCCACTCTGCCATCCCCAATAAGGTTTTCATCATGTCTCTTTTTGGGCTCTCGCTGTTTGTCATTTTGACACGCCAGCACAAACACTCACACACACTCCCGGCACAGCAGCATGATTGTTGTCTAACCCTCTCTCCAGCCAGTCTTGGTGACCACCCTCTTTTCCACACTGCTGCAACACCCTGTGTCAGAGGTGGGGGAGCTGCTATATAGTGGGTTATGAGAGCCAATTTTCAGAGTCTCCCACTCATCGGATTTGATTAGCTCAGTTCATTAGACTTTCAGGAGGGGGCTGAGTGGTGAGCATGCAGTCAGCTTCCTGAAAATCCCCGGCTGACCAGCGAAG